TTCGGTATAGTTGGTATGCATAGGTACCATGTAAGTTTAAAATATTAAAAACCATAAAATCAGATGCTACAATATTTATTGATTGTCCCGAAGTAGTTGCCTTTTATCGAGAAAAATTGCGGCATCGATCGTTTTTTAAAGCCTTTTTTTATTACCGTTCTGGTTCTTGAGAGAGATCAACTATCAATTACTTTTCACATTATCATAATACATTATACACGTCAATTGGATAATTCTGCGTCCGCCGTCCGCCACTCGAGCAACCCAGTTACGCGGTCCGATTGCCACAATCGACAATGGATCGATTGTGCCCGCACGCAGACTCGGCTATTGTATTATATTCTGCTGATGAATGTAAACACCTCGTGGAGTCAATACAAATCGCATTGCCCACTTTGTCTAAACGCTCATTACAGCCCACACAGGTACGAGAAAAGTGATCGATCCAAAGGCGATTGTGATACTAGAACAAAAGACTTCGCTGCCCACTTGATTCGGACACGCCGGCTGTAGTGGAGGAAATCGGATGTCGATTAATAGTATAATCAGATAAATAAATGCATTATCGATAGGGTGAAGCGGGGCTTAAAGGTCCGCTGGTGAAAAGTCCATAACAAGATATATCAACAACAAGTAAAGTTAAGAATTCTTTAACATCAGTATTTGAAAGTAGAAGGCAAGAGATGTGTGACCAGCCATCATCTTGATTCTTCTGACGTTGCTATCAGGAAATAAAAGGCAATGTTTGAAAATCCATAATAAATGTATTTTCTTTCGTTTGATAGTTTTTTTTTTTGCTCTTGAGCACTGTTGTTTGGTTTAGCATTATTTAATTATTTTTTAAGATGTATTGTTTATTTTAAGTAAGATTTAATAGTTTTTTAATATAACCTTTATGAACGTGGTTGGGGTAAAAAAGACCAACTAACTGTGGACCTTCACCGTGGAAAAAGTGTAAACAAATCAAATTATTAGTTATTTTAATTCTACTGATAAAATTTTCTGACAAAATACCAGATCAAGGTTGTATACAAGGCTGTAACAATTTTTTTTAACTCGTTTTATTTAGCAATCAGAAATACACAAAGATTTCTATGAGCTAAATTGACAATATTTAAGAGCGATGCCTAAGAAGAACTCCAATGAGATCTTCTCAGTTTAAAAATTAATATGATAATATTATATTAGACAAAATCTAAGACTAAGTCTAAAGGCCATTGTCGTTTCAATCTCCTTCCGCCAAAAGGTTGAGTAATGTCAACTATTGATGGGTTCGAATGTGAGTCCAGTTTGCGTTTGTATTTTTCCTTGAATTCTTTGAACGTTAATTGCGCCGTTTTTATGTTGAGGTCGCTGTGAATGGTTTCATTTGTCACGTACCACGGAGAATTAAGAATTGTACGTAAAATTTTTGACTGAGTTCTCTTCATTATAGCTATATTTGCTTTGTAAGCACATCCCCAGAGCTCAATTCCGTAGGTCCAGATTGGTTTATTGATTTGATTTATATAGCAGCAACTTATTTTCAACAGAGAGCTTATACTTTTTACGCAGTAGCCAATCAAATTCTTTCATTTTGATCATTATTTCCTGCTTTTTTGTTTTTATGTGGCTTTTCCAAGTAAGTCTGCTGTCTAACTGGAGACCAAGATATTTCACTATGTTCTGTTTCGGAATCTGGACGTTATTTAAATAAATTGGAGGACAAGTACCTTCTCTCAAATTTATGCATAAAAATTATACTTTGCATTGGTTGAATAATGTGGTCAATCTGTTTGCCCAATCTGGCTGTCCCATTTTACCCTGTCTATTATGTATATTAGATACTTTATTTGATTGTTTATTTATTACCTAAGCAAGCAGTTTTGTATTATAAGACTCTATAAGTCTTGATTAAGAAAATAATGAAAAAATAAGCTATTTGTGAGAAATTTGTATACTTCGTGATGTTTTAGAATCGATTGAAAGGAAATAAATATAACAGTATAACGTAAGTTCATTAACAATTTATATGAAATATTAATTTCAAATGTAATTTGTAGAATTTTTATACACACCGCTGTATGATCGTATTAATTAAACACTTCGTATCAATAAAGAAATATACATTTTAAATTAAATACCATGTACATAATGTACAATGAATTTCGAAATTTATTAATATCCTTATCCCGTTTAAAATTGTGTTATCGATGATAGTTTGAGGGTTTTCTTGCATTGAATAATAAGTTGTTAATTTATAGCACAAAACAATACTTTTGATTCAATTATGAAATTTATTTATGCAGCATTCTGCACTACAAAAATGCGACGATAGACCCTAGTCCATCCAATACATTATCATTATAGAATGTCTGCACTATTATTGAGGTTGGTGAAATTTTATCACAAATTGATAAATATTACAATTTGGATACAAAAATCCTAATTATCGAAATTTCGCACTGTTAAAAGACAATCCACTATATCCAGATGTAAAATGAGTTGATTGCTCCAACGTGGTCTCTTCATCATCGTGTTACATGTTCATGTACATACTAGCATTGGGAACACGAGTGTTACACAATTCACCTCATTGTACTGCAGCAAGGTATCGATGGGAAGCGATTAAGAGGCGCTCAAATCGACGTCTGGGCGCCTTCCACGGTTCCATGTGGGACGTGTCCTGTCATATCATATGATGAGTCCGTAGAAACATTTTGAAATATTACATTCGAAAGTTTTTCTGGCCAAAAGGCATTTTTTGCACTTTTTTTGGATCTTCGAAAGCGCTAGATCCGCTTTCCCAAAAATTGTTTTATTTCTTCATTTGGCAATACAAATAAAATGTTTTTGAATCATACAAATCGCACGCTCCGTTCTCTCGAAAAATCAATTACCATTTTTGGCACTTTTTGCCCCGAATTTTTGAAATTTGCCAAAAACTAATCAGCACATTTCCTTATCAATACGAATCGAAATTTGTATCCGCACACACACAAGGTATGCTAAAATGTTTAGAAGACCTTAAAACGTAAAAATATGCATAAAGTTTTATTTTGGATTTTTTTGCGGTTAGTATAACTTACCCCACGGGAAGTTAAAAACATTAAAATTTTCAAATCTTTAATATTTAAATTTTTTAATAATTTAGGGCATAATGACACAGTGGCCTTATTTAAAAATTAGCTAGTTTTAGTAACGATTCCGTGACTGTCAGATGTTAAGCGTCATTGCCACGCAGTAATTAGTTCATACGTGAATTGCGTTTTCAATAGTTCATTTCGAGGGGGATTTTGTTACAATTTTTGTGACTTATTTGTGGTTATTTGTTATTATTTTTACTTAAATCAATGAACTCAATGGACCAATCGAGGATTTCAATCAATTTTATTGAAATTATCAGGTGTTTGATAGAATTTTAATAATTTCTTTGATTCCAGGAACAAAATGTCATATTATTATTTGAAAAGAACTACAGGGTAGTTCATTCGAAAGCTAAGAAGAAAGAAAATTGAAATCTGTAAAAGGCTTAAACTTTTATTATAACTACTTCTAAAAGCTGACTAAGGGATCTCCCGATTAAAAAAAGTGACTTTCATTTAGTGCAAAACCTTGTTTTGAGTTTTGAACCCGATGAAAATTTGTCACGATGTATGATTTGTTCTCTTTGGGGCCCAAAATTTGGGCTCCATTATCCAGCGCTTTATCAAATCTTGAATTCTTTAAATTTTCAAAAAAATACAACTTTCAGATAATTGTTTTGGCTTTAATGGTTGTAGTTAATATAATTAACAAAATTATTTTTATGGAAAAAAATAAAATAAGAAATTAGTTACAAAGTGGCATTTTGCCTTAAGGCAAGTTGCATAAACTTTTCGAAATGTGCAATAATTTACTTAATCAACCAAAATTAAATAAACTTTTAAACTCGTTATTTCGAAAATAAATTTTTTGCTTTCAATTAAATATAAACATTGCGTTTTCCTAAATCTCTCAAAAACATATAAATTATATTATTTATAGTGCACAGTCACGTGCTTATATGTCCTAAAATTGTAGCTTATTATTCCAAATATTAGTTAAGTTTTATAATTCAATCAATTTTTGTAGGACTGTTAAATTTCAGGAAAATCGTCGAAAATTTGTTTTTTAACTGATAATTACAAGAAAACGTCTCGGTCTATCTTTACCAAATATTATTAAGCACGATTTCCAACCAATATTATTCGAACTGTTTTTGAATTTTTAACATCAATTCAGGATTGTGGGCTAAAAACGTGGATGATAATGTTTTCACTTTTTTGCTATTAACAAAAAAAACGGCTTGGCTGGTTATTGCGCAAAACTGGGCAAACGATTCCTTAGTCCTTCTCGAGTTACATCGAATAGCTTTTAAATTTTTGAAATCGGTTCAGACGTTTTGAGAAAAAGGTACAATATCAGCTCACATACACACGCTCACATACTTTCGCCAAATTTGGTATGATTCTATTCAGAATGGCTTGAAACGTCGAGATAACATAAAATTAGCAAATCGGATTTTTTAGCGAAAACAAACTTCTCCTTCGGGAAGTTAAAAATTACGTGACTGTATTACATCTATAGATGGACACATTTTCCCCGTGTATTTTTCATTTTACAACATTGCAACTTCACCAGAAATCGATTCTTTACAGTTGTCAAATAGTTTGATGAATCGAAATCTTAACAAATGCCTAGTAGTTTCGATCATACATGTTTTCTACATGGGCATACTACTACGTATTCACATAATTGCCCATGGCTATAACGTACGTTTTATATCGGACAATAAGCACTTGAACTGATGGCCCTTCCGCACACAAAACATTTAAAATTTCTTTCACAATAAAGAATGAAATTGAACGTTGCAATCACAATATAAGATGCGTAGTTTTTTTTCGAAAACTAATTCATCAAGTGGGTCCTCTGAAAATTGCATGGAGATGTCAATCAAAGTTCTTCCGAGTAGCTTCTTACTATCGCAAACTTGATATTTGTCAAGTTGAAGAAGGTTTTAAGTATTTGATGAAAATAGATAAAAATGAAAATTTGCGTAAAATCTAGATAATAAAATTCAATTTAAAACTAACTTAGAATTATATTCTTTAAATAGTGAATTTTGAAAGGAATCATTTTTTTCTTACTTTATAAATTAGATTTGCTTTTTTAAAAGAATTAGAATTATATATATATATATATATATATAATATATCCATCCCAAATGAGTGAGTTCTATAAGATTCATTTATAAGTTGATTT